TGTCGCTTAGAAACAATAAATTTTCAATGAGCTATAAAGCTCAGTAAACTGAATGAGAAATGCATTCATAATGTTTTCTCATTTATATAACACAGGAGTTAAAATTACCACCATAATAGCAGTTGTGTATATCTTTGTTATGAATTATAAAACGAGAATAACAGATTTAAAATATGCACCCAACAAGCACAACTGAAATCCATATTCCATTACGGAATAATTACCAATTAGGTATGCTAACTTCGATTTACCACAGTAATCGTTATCTTCATTACCAGCTTAACACATTCTTACATAAATGAACTTGCTATTGATTTTCCCTTAAAAAAATTAGGTTTCCGTACTTAAAACGACATCATCGTTGACTTTCTATCGTAAAAATCCTCAACAATTGAGATCTTATATTTAAATCCAATAATTGAAGTTGTACCCACATTGCGGCTGATATTATCATGAGAGCGAGAGATAAGGCCGAAAATTTCAAATAAGTGTGACAATAGTGGGTTTGCTTAGAAATTAAATTGCTTATAGAGCCAATTTGCATCGGATAAACTACAGAGAATGTGTCGAGTTTTATCTTTTGTGACAAATTTCAACTGAAATTTCTCACTTTACACCTACTCAAGTTAACTTTTCTCAACATATAAAAAAAATGTCACAATAAAGTGTATTACAACAGAAATAATATATAAACAAATAAATTACTACTCCATGTCCCTTAACTAAACAAAAAACAAGTCGTAAAATATCGCCCCCGTATAACCTCAATTATGTATCCTTCAATCTACTCTAGAGTGGCTCTTTGGTGGCATTTTTAATTTAACAAAATACTCAGTTTTGGACAAAACATAATTTGGTTAATAATAATTGCAATAAAATATTTTGTTGATAAAAATTATCACAGGCCAAGGTCCACACACAAAATCAAATTTGGGTTAAACAGACAGTATTGATCCTTCATCAAGGCCATTTACACATTAATTTACTGATAAATAAACATTAACTGAATATAAATCAATACATTTGTGGCATAAAAAATCCTCAATTTACATAAAATTCGAGTTTTAAACATTATCGTATCACTGGAGTTTGAACTGAAATCGCTTCCTGTTGAGTACAAAACATACGATTAAAATTTTTATGATCGGAAACTGGAACACCCAAAAATCTGTTTAACTAATTTACATAATTTTCATCATCAAGTGGATTACATTAATCAATAAAACGGCATTATTTGCATTGGATAGGCTATAAAATACATTTACGTGTAGGTTTCGCAGCTATTAAATAGTCATTTTCAATGTTACTGCTTTTTACGATGCTAAAAGTATTTGTATTCTGTGTGGTAATGGCAATCATAAAGTTGCATCCTTTTCTCGCTAATGAAGTCGGACGCAAAATAAAACAAAAATATTAATTAAAACAGTGTTATTAAGATTGATATCCATACAAAATAAATAAATTCTTCGTCAAATCCCAAGTTATTTTCCGAATTCCTTGCCCCACTTCAGTATCAATTTCCCCGCAATTATTTTTACTTATTGTAATCGCGTCTATGCAGAATCGATAGCACGAATGGTTTTCTCGGCTCTTGAGACACGTTTGTGAGACAATTACATCGTAGTTAAGTCGTCCAAAACCTTTTTGTCGCAGTTGGAAGCACACTATACAAACCCAAATAATCCCAAAATCTTCCAAAGTGCCGGACATATTTCATAAAAGATCTTGTCGCTTTCACAACTTCTCAAGTCGACCAAAAAACTGTTGCTTCCCCTTACTATACCGATATCTTATCACAGCCATTAAAAGTTGTTGATTTCTTCCAATAAAACGCATCTATCAATTTCTCTGATTAAAGTTGACTTAAGTTTATTAGAGCTGGTCATTTTTTGTTATTTTATGTGCCTTAGGTTGTTTATTTTCGGTGAGCTTATGTTTTGTGATAAATTGTGTAAGGGAGAGCGGCTTCTGATGTGTACACTTTTGCTGCCAAGAATGTAGGAGAGTCTAATACACTGTTTACGATATTAGAGTATTATTTCAGGCGGTGAAGGATTTGCTCTTTTATTACCACAGTTTCGTTTTTCTTTGATCATAAACTCGTACAAATACAACATTCTTTTGGTATTTATCAAAACAAATTTTATTTTAAGTGTTGAATATGAACGGATTTGTAGTTTGCTAATCCTATTTGTGTGATTTGGGTAATCTGGCAGTCTACACCACCACTTTCTTTAACTTATTATTGTGGATTAGGTTTGTTAAAAGCCACTCCGTTTGGAATTGGTCAAATTAGGATATCGAATAACGAAAATAATCGAATTAAAACTTTTCTTATTGCTTGATGTCACATTAATTTTAAACTAAAAGCTTTCACATTTTATAGTTGGGATAGCAGACGGAAATTTGTGCACATAATCGAGAAAATCGCATCTCGATGTCTTGTTGGACTGTCTATTACCGTTGCTATGTTGGCAAGCGTATAAACATCCCTCGACGTTTGATAAACCAGACATTGCCCCTTGAAAACATAATCTACGAAACCTAGTAAATGTATAAGCCGATGATGTGCTAGACGAACAAACCATTTACCAATCACTGAACCACAAATCCAGAATAAAATACCGTGTAAATATTTTAATACTAAACTTATGAAAAATTAATCGCAAATTTTAATGCAAACATTTCATTGAAACTGGATTTTTTTGGACATAATCTCATTATGAAAATTCATGATGGACAAAAAGCGTTTTTTGCACAAACTAATTACTTTACAAACAAAAGAATTAGTACATTTTCAAGAACGATAAAAATGAGATTGTTTTTCAAAAATAAGATTTTTCCAAATTTCCTTTAGTTTTCGAGTTTTGCATTTTTTTTAATGTCAATCCACTATAAAGCCTCTTACAAAGGCTATGATCTAACTACAGTAAAACCTCGATAAATCGAACCTCTATATCTCGAAATTTCGATAAGTGAAAGCGATTGGCAAGTCTCAAACATTTGCTAATAGAAATAAGTATAATTTTCCGATATCCCGAACCTGTTTAAGATTAACAGATTTTCGGTTTCCCTAAGCTGTAAACCTCCACTAGTCCATTTTTTTAATTCCCGCAATTTTACGTAATACACAGTGGATTAATTTCTGTAGTATGCACGTGGTTTCCATCTATTTACACAAAATTCAAGGCCTGTGAAAGCTTTTTCAAAAAAATGTCTTCAATAACAAATTTATTTCTGTAACTTGAAGACAAATGAATAAAATCTATACCTACATACCTATGCAATTTCAATTTTTTTGTACTTTAAGAGTTTATGTTTATTTATACAGGGTGTTCGGTCCAAGTCGCCCCGGCAGATAACACCTAAACTTCCTTTTTTTTTTCAAAAACGGTATTTTCAAATAATACTATTCATTCATTCAAATGCTACCAAATTTAGTTTTTCAAATAGAACACCAATATTTTTTTGCTCGAAACAATAATAATTGGCATGAAAAATACGGTAAACCACTATTTATTACATTTTACCTTACATAATACACTCAGAAAACAATTTAAATTTTTGAATTTTATTGCAACGTAGGCGGATTTTTTTTGTCAAGGTATTTATGCAAAAAGCAATATGCTTGGATACCGTTTAATTGTTAGTTTGACAAAACCTAATTTTTGAATAAATCTTATTGAGATTGAGAGAAAAATACTCAAATAGAATTCACCCAAATCGTTGGAAATTTAATCGAATTAAAAAACAACTGAGACGAATAGATTTGCTTCTTAAAACTAAAAAACCTGTGGTTCTTTGTGAAGAACAAGAAAATAGAAATCTGAGTGTTGTTATCAGTCGAAGAAAATCCAAGAGTTTCCATAAGAGAACTCGCTCATCAAACTGACAAATTAAATTTGTCAAACCAACAATTAAACTGTAGCCAAGCATTTTTTTAATTCACACCTTTCCTTTAAAATTAAAAATCAGGCTACGCGACTAATTTCCTTATAAAATTCTAAGATTTAAGATGTTTTTTTGATTGCATTGTGTTACGCAAAATGTAATAAATAGTGATTTACAGTATTTTTCATGTCAATTATTATTGTTTGGAGGACAAAGAACATAGGTGTTCCATTTGAAAAACTAAATTTGGTAGAATTTCCGGCAACACTGGATGTGCTAAAAAAATTTAATACATTTATTAAGAAAGCCAAGAATGAATATTATTACTTAAATATTTACTTTTTGAAAAAAAGAAGTAAGTTTAGGTGTTATCAGTCGAGGCGACTTGGACCGAACACCCTGTATACATGTTTTATGCCATAAGAAGTTAATTTTTGTATATATTTTATGATTATCAAAAAAATTATATATAAAATATATCTGGAATCCTCAATAACTCGAATAATTTTTTGGCAATAGACACTTCGACTTCACGAAGTTCCACATTCTACATTTTACTCAATTTTTAGCAAAAAAAAAACAAAACAAAACAAAATTTAATTCTCAAAATACGATTTTATTATTTTCTGAAGACAAATGATTTCAAAAAACTCTTATTTCATATATATTCTGCGTTTTTACAGCTCTAACTAAAAAAAAACTAACCTGCGATTTTGGCCAAAGTGTAAAACTCGTTTTTTCTACCACTAAGCCTACGCTAAATTTATAGGATGTGCCAACAGCAAAGTTATGATAAGACCAAACATTAGCTACACGTATAAAATGAATCAGATTATATGACAAGGCTTGAGTAATATGCAAATAAGTCAGCTTCTAACCAAAAGCGAGATAAATTTCTTCTCGTTTGTTATACATATTTAAGATATTCATAAAAACCAGGACTTGAATTTAAGAGAAAAATAATTTCATTTCACATCGCATAAGCCGAAATTTTGTATTTTCTAACTGAATCATCATGAAGTTCAAATTTTCCGCATTTTTAAGTCAATTCAGCGCCACCTTAACGATTTTCAAAACCAGACAACTACTAAACAAATTAGTCGGTAAAGCAGGACGCTTTAGTGTCATTCAATCAAGAGTGAGAAAAATCAAACTAATTTTCTTGAATTTGTACACGAAACGAAGAAACTGAAGTGAAATGTGCTACCTACATAATTAATTACTAACTAATGTACAAGTTCAATACTAAAAACTTTCACGAAAAAGACGTTTGCTCAATGACATAACCTCAAATTACATCATGATGCGGTTATCAAGCTTTAACGTTTTTGCTCTCGGAGCAAAAACCGCCGAAAAGTATAAAAACGCAAGCGAAAGGATCAATAAAAAGATCAGTGGAACTTTTATTGAAAAAGCAGCGATTTACATGAAAACTATATGGAATGACTATAAAGAAGTGGCTGTCTCTGTTAGAAGTGATATTAAGGAGAAACCTTTAAAAGCTGCGGGTTTTTTCACCGGCATGGGGTTCACAATGTATTGTTTAACCCACAATCCAAATGAGCAAAGTTTTAGAGCAAAATTTATACAATGTTCAAACGACGTTTCTTTAGTCAGTTCAAATCTTGTTAACGGGGCTGCTGTGGAACATATGAAGATGATCCAGACTTGTTACAACAGAGATTTAATAAGGTATACAAACTTGGGGCTATTTTCCATCATTTGGGTGGATAAATACAGCGACCAGTGTAATATGTATGAAACAAACTGTTCTTACTTGAAACTGCCATATAGGAAATTCGCTAGTCAAGTCATAGATGTAGGTTTCTTAAATATTTGGTGGGTTATCTCACGCAAAATGTTAGATTATGACATAAATTATTAATGAATGAAATGAAATAAATAAACTTTACCTTGGCACTGTTGTCTTCTATATATTTGTTTGTGTTCACAGTTATTGTCTTCGGAACGGGGCTCATATCCCTGGCTCCTGAATCCCACTCCCAACTATCCAATTTTCCTTGACTAATTTCACTTGAATTGTCTTTAGTGTGCTTCAAGGCGTCAATTTCCGGCCGCAACGCCAATCGACGACGCAAAAATTGTTCGTAAGAAATCCTCCCTTGAGCATCGGCCCCCAACTGGAGCATAAGCTCGTCGAGGGAGTCTTCAAGGCTCAGTTCCCTGCAGATTGCAAGCAAATCTTGGCTAAAATCAAACCCAATTTGAAGATGAATTTCCGTCGAAATTCGGCCTTTACCTATCAATATAACCGTCCCCATTGGCATCGCAAGCCTGGAAGAGTCTCCGGACCCGTTCCTCGTCACAAACGGAGCTCGCGCTCTCGCTGGCACAGTCTGTCTCTGCCATAACCCCTAAATCTTTATTGTCATTTCTCCAAATTGGTGTTACTAACTTTAGACATTTAAAAATAGGAACTGTGAGTTAGACTTCATATTTTACTTAAAAATGAAACGATTTTCTAACAACAAAACATTTCTCCGATAATTTTTTATTATAAACAATCACAAAAAACTTGAAATGTCAAGAAATGTCAAAATTGGGAGCATCATGGGAGCGAATACACCATCTGCGCTGCCAACTGTGCCAACCCACAAGATTTGAAATCCCTTAAAAACACCCACTCTCATTTAAAATTAAATATTTTAAAATTATAACATATTATTATTTATTTGACTAATAATACTGTTAACCAAAAAATTACGTAATTTTATAAAATTGTCAAATTATGTAATTTTTTTATTGTTAAGAAAAATCCCTAAAAAGATAACTAAATAAGAGACACAAAATTTGAAAATAAAAAAATGTGGTCCTCCTTTCAATGTTTGTTTATTTGAGGTAAGAAAATAACATAAATAATATAAATGCTATTTATGAGTGTTAGTTAACAAAAATAGTATTTGAATTAACGAAAAAACTTAATCACTTTTTTTCTTTTTGTTGGGGCTTTCATCTTCCGAAGCCCCTTTTTCACCAGACTTCCGTTTATTAGCTTTATTATCACTGTCGGAGTCGTCGGACTCTTCTTTTGATTCTTCAACCCCTGATCCCAATTTTTCCTCAAATGTGGCAATACTTTTCTTGATTTTACTCGCATCAGGACTGTACCCCCACAAAATCAATTTCAAATGTTCTGCTGTTGGTAAATCGTCCTTCCACATGTCCGGCTTTTTCTCATCAATTTCCTTAAGTAGTTTCTTTAATTCTGTGTTTCTAACAATGTCCCAAGTGGGTTCATCCTCCCCACTTGGAATAGTTCGCAAGTTTTTGTATTCTCCTTTAGCCCCTTTGTAAGCTTTGTAAAAGGCCTCGCATTTGGAGTCTTCGAGTTTGTACTGGTTTTTGAGTGGCAATAGGGCCGTAATAGCATTCAGTGGGAGATATGCACGATTTTCTTTCGATAAACCGTTCTTTTCGAAGTTGTTTAGCCATTCATCGAAGACTGCCATCGCGTCGTTGATATTCTGCAGCTTCTCTTTGTCTTTAGTTACTGAAAAAGAAAATAATTTATCAAAATAAACAAAAATCCAAGAATTTGTGTTGGTGTTATTTATTTAGTCGAAATTCTCTGTTCAAAATTTTTTGAAATTATTGTTATATTTTAAATTATAAGATAAGATACCAGGAACATGGAAAAAATGTTTCAAAAATTGTCCAAAAATTTTGACATTCATTTTTTGACATTTGAAATTTTTTATATCTCTTGATACTGATGATTAAGGTTTGGATTATATGCACGAAAAAATCGTAAAATATGCGCGTATAGGTATATGCACGTATTTTCACAAAAATATGCACAAAATATTAAGAAATATGCTCCAATATATGCCAAATATGCATCGATATACAAAATTTTGGACAATAAAAAGTCAAAGGTATTTATTTTTTGAAAAAACTAATTGATGAATTATAAAGTTCTATAAAAATGTGATGTTTTATCAAAAATAAAAATTTTCGAAATTTTTGTTGTTTTTTAGTTTTACAAAAATATTATTTTTTTAAAAAATGGGGACCCACCAAAAAAAAACAGTTTTTTAATGATCTAAGCGATTACAACTATCTACTTTGTATTAAATTATTTTTTTTAGATACCTATATCGCAATTTAGACAGCAAAAATCGAATAACTCAAAAACAAAACAAAATTTTGTTCTTAAAATAAGATCATTTTTTATATTACTTTAATTTATATTAATTATTATTTTTTGGAAACCAATGATTTAAAAAAAAAATCGTTTGGTTCAATACAATAAAAAGGAAACTTTCAGCAGGGTACTAATTTTTTGAGTTTGGCTTACGAATTACCGGTTATTTTCTCTTTAAAATATTTTGTAATCGGATCGTTTTTCATAAACTGTCGAATTCTTAACTTGAACTGAATTTTTTAATCGGAAATTAGTGATTTGAAGAAAATATGCACAAATATGCAATATTTCCTAAAGTATGCACCAAGTTGCCAAAATATGCATTTTTTATTTGGCTTATTTTAATTAAAAAACATTAGATATGCATAGAAAACTTAGAATTTTGTTGATATAGCTCTTAATAACAAATATGCATTTTGCATATAATCCGAGCCTTACTGATGATCTTGTATATTTTTTTTATAATTATTTAGTAAAGGTTCAAAAATTTTGTCAATAAAAGCCACAAATAACATTAAAGTTACAATTTAGGTGACAGCTTCATTGTTACCTCTTCTAATAGCCTGTAGCAAAAAAACTTGGAAATTTTTTTTCCAGCAGAAATAAATAGAGTCAAAGTGCAAAATTTAAACTCTCATAACTTTAAAATTTTTATAGATAGAAGTTTTTTTTATTATTTTTTTATGTTCCTGGTATCTTACCTTCATTTTTCTCTGGGGCGCGAGTTCTGAAGCACGCTGTGTAGTTGAAAATACTCGTAATTTGAGGCGTTGCACTAGTTTAGTATTTATCAATTTCCTATACTATACATTTTTTTAAATTTGAACAATTAAAGGTCAATAATGGACCAACTCACTGGGACCACTCTGTATAAATAAATAAATTGCACATCATTTGTTTACGTTTTTTTTTTACTTCTTTCATTTCGGTGATTCCACGTTTATTTTCCTCACACTCGGCCCGAGTCGTGTGTTTGTATTTATAAAAACATTCCGGCGCATTTCTGTCTCGCTGATTAAACCCGAAAACTGTTTACTCACGCGTGAGAGTCCGTTTGGCCCTCCCTATCAATCCTTTGATAGCCAGTTTTTGATAATCCGGGTCACGTCCTTCCAAATTTTTTATCGTTTCTAAAGCCTTCTCTTTATCCTTAAACCCCAAACCGGGAACGGTATCTGCTTTGGATTCGGACATTTTCTCTAAAAGAATCAATACAACAATAACAAAGATTTATTTAATAGTATTTTACCGTCGAGAGCGAAGTTATAACTTGAATGCGAGTAGCAGCTCGAGTGAAATACAAATTTTAGAAATTCGGTTTCCACTACTTTTGTTAGTAAGTGCGGAGAATTGGGTGTGCGGCACTTGGAAACAGCTAAAATTAAACGTGGATTGTGAAGGTCGACAGCAAACAGATCGATTCGAATTGTGGTCAGAGTATGACAAAATATCTAAACTCGGTAATTACGTCATTATTTAAGCAAGACTGAAAGTTCTTGACATTCGTAACGACTTGAATAATTATTAATAATAAACGTTAGGTGGATCGTAAGTATTTTTGATAAATAATTCATCTTGTTACAATCATTAATTCTTTCCCGAATTATCTCGAATTATTTTCCATTGGTTAGCTCGCTCTCAACCGACCAATCAGCGATCATTTTGAAATTTAAAACGTGGAGGTAAATGGGTAGGAATTACACTTTTAATAATAATAATTATAATAAAGGTCTTTATTATATGAAAAAAAAAACAATAAAATGAAATATAAAAAAAATAAAACAAAACGTGCATATAAAAGCCGAAGATCAGATGCCAATCTTACTATTGCACACCCCCTGTTTTTCATCTTAAGCTAAGCAAAACAAAATAAACAGAAACAGTGTAGCTTTAAAAAAAATAAAAATAAAAATGAAACAGAAAAAGAAAAAGTATTAAGTAAAATAGTCTTGAGACATATTTACTAAACATGTTGCACATCTAAACATTCAAAAAGGAAAAAAAGTTCAAAAAAGAAAGAAACTAAAATTGAAGCAATTATTTAATAAAAAAACATTAATTTTGAATTAATTCTGTATTAAAATCGAGCAAAATTGGATTAAAAATTGCTCAAATTGTTTTATTTTGGAAGAAAACTCTTATTGAAGTCAGTATTTGGTTGAAATACTTTGATTCAGGTTGATTCCTAACTTCATCAGACTTAATTAAAGGCTTGGTTGAATAAAAGTAATTTTTTCAAGTTTGTTTAAATTTAGCAGAGTTGAGGTTTTTAAACGAATGAGGTAAACTATTGTATAATTAAGTAATTTGATATAAGAAAGACCTCTTAAATAACTCAGTGGAGTGGAGTGGAAGAGTAAGTAAACCTTTAAGTCTAAGGTTTAGGTTGTGAACATCCGATCTAAAACTAATTTTTTGGTACAAATAGATCGGTGTCTTTAAAAGAATGATTTTGTGGAAGATTACGCATTAATCAATTAATTAATCCATATAAACGTTTTATTCTTGAAATTATGTTACAAAGTATTTACAAAGTTCTATTATTTTGTATGTAGTTGTAAAACAACACTTATTTTTTGCTAAATCGTTGTAAAGTGCATTTGTTGTCATTTTATTTACAGTTCCGTCGTTTCAAGTTTTCTTCGTGGTAATGCTGGTGGTAGCGTTTGGTACACATTTTGTGCTCGAATGTGTCCATTGATATGTTGCAAATTATTGCACTGTGGAAGATCTCCGCTGATTACGTTTTCATCAAGAGAATCATGTTCCGAATTTTGACTAAAATAATTAATCTTATTTCCCAAATAGGTTTTGTTATATTCACTTACCTAAATTCGTCGGCATTTTTGTACCATTCATTTTCATAAGCTTGCATCCAAATCGGATTGCTTCCTTCCATACTGTGCTTATTCGTGTTTGGGACTCTTCCACTCAAAGCACTCAAACCCCGACCATCTATATCAGAATCTGTAGTTACTAAAAAAAAATCGTACATTGTGTATTTATTATTGGCGGTAAACTGACCATATGCCGTGGCTGTGGCCGCTTTTAATTTCCGGTGATAAGTTTGCCGTTGATTTATGCAAAGAGCAAGACATAATAAGAGGAGTAAAAGTAGGAATAAAGTTGCAGCTGTCAACCAAAATGTGGTATTGGCTGTTTTCACCGCTTTCAGAGCTAGAGGTCCACCTGGTTGCGTGTCCAACACATTGAATTCCTTAAATAATTCATCGAGTTTTTCCGTGTTTTGGTCAACTAAGCGTAAAACTTCGTCAACTTCGATTATTGAATTGTCGCGTCGATCGACTAGATGTAGGTAAAGATCTGTTCGAGTTTTGTCAACGCTGCCATCATGGTTGGCGTGAACCCGGAATTCGTCAACATTTACAATGGCTCCGGTTACGTTACCCAAAATTCTAAAAACAATTTCTAAGTACTTGAATTCCAAAAACTTGGACTTACTCTCGAAAGGCTTCAATTTTGTTTCGTAATTCGGGAGGTTGCTGTCTTAACACAAATCGGACCCTTTGGTCGGCCCTAAGCAAGTAAATGAAGACTCTAGCCATGTCTTGGAGACCTCCAGTGTCATTTACTAACACCATGAAGTCAAAGTAACCCTTCATCCCTTCCTGAGGATCGAAATTTAATTGTACTGCTCCTGTGTCCCGATCAACCAAAAAAGGGTCTCTTTTCAAATCGTCCAAACCTTCAGTCAGTGTCATTTGTACTTTTCCGATCAAATAGTAGGATATTTTTGCGTTATTGTCCAAGTCGGCATCTTCCGCCTGCAAAAATTATGTGAAAAAACTAAAGTCTGTTTTTTTTTTAATGGAAATGCCAAACAGTCTTAACGAAAATAGCTCAAATTGCTTTATTTTGGAAGAAAACTCTTATTTAAGTCAGTGTTTGGTTGAAATACTTTGATTCAGGTTGATTCCCGACTTCAAATTGAGCCAAATCGATTGAAAATATTACAAATTGCTTTATATCAGCCTAAAATTAAGATTGAAGCAATTATACTTATAAAATACATTAGTTTTGAATTAATTCTGTATTAAAATCGAGCAAAATTGGATTGAAAATTGCTCAAATTACTTTATTTTGCAAGAAAACTCTTTTTGAAGTCAGTATTTGGTTGAAATACTTTGATTCAGGTTGATTCTCAACTTTAAATTGAGCCAAGTCGATTGAAAACATCACAAATTTCTTCATTTCAGCCTAAAATTAAGATTGAAGCAATTATACTTATAAAATACATTAGTTTTGAATTAATTCTGTATTAAAATCGAGCAAAATTTTATTGAAAATAGCTCAAATTGCTTTATTTTAGAAGAAAACTCTTATTAAAGCCAGTATTTGGTTGAAATACTTTGATTTAGGTTAATTTCTAACTTAAAATTGAGCCAAATCGATTGAACTTATCACAAATTGCTTTATTTCAGCCTAAAATAAAGATTGAAGCAATTATATTTATAAAATACATTAATTTCGAATTATTTCTGTATAAAAATCGATCAAAATTGAATTGAAAATAACTCAAATTGCTTTATTTTGAAAGAAAACCAATATTTAAACTATTATATTGTTGTAATACTTTGATTTAGGTTGATTTCCTGCTTAAAAGTGAGCCAAATGCATTGGAAATTAATCAAATTATTTTGGACAGAAACGACGAATAAACACTCTACTGTGTTCAAATCGAGCAAAATTGCCGGGTTTTCTGCTCTAAAATTCAGCCAAAACGATTGGAAATTGATGAAAATAGTCTTATTTTGGCCGGAAACAATGAATAAACACACATTTCGTTGTTTTTGTTTAAGAAAACCTTGCAAAATAATGTATTTTGTCAAATAAGTATTAAAATTGCGGTTTTTAGACAAAATGAGACGATTTGATTATATTCCAACAGCTTTTCTTGGATRTTATGCCAGAAAACATCACACATCAATGCATTTCAACACAATACGTGTTTAAATAGCCATTTTACTAGCGGAGTGTTTCTATTAAAATTATTAGCACTGAATTTTGTCTTTAGACCTTAGGTAATGATGTCTGTCCTCAGGTATTCAATTATAGCGCTTTCAAAGAGCAAACAAGCACACAAGATTCATAAAAGGCAAAATTTTGACAACATCTCAATTAGAAAACTTAACCATAATTTTTTAACAAAATTTCTAGGGACAAAAACAAAGAGCAAACAAAATTTGTGGCTGTGGAGACAAGCTGCTACCAATTTTTTCACCAAAATTTTGACTTGGTAATTTCCATTTAAAGAAAAAACAGACTTTAATACGTGTCTTATTTTTACCTTGACTTCCATGAAAGTCGTTCCAAAACTTGTCGCTGTGCTAACCCCACCAGTGAAGACTCTATGGATGAATTGTGGGGGATTATCATTGACATCCAAGACTTTGACTATGACTTTCAATTGCGTGTCATCGGAAGCATCAAAGAAACTTTCATTGCGTGGCTGTTTTGTGCAGTCTTCTGTTGCTTTAATGAGTAGTAAATGTGTTTCTTTTTCCTCTCGATCTAAAGGTCTAGTCACCTAAAAAGCAAAGTGACTTTTTTTTCATTACCAAAAAGACAAACTTGCAGTTAAGACATGCTCCACAGGATGCAATTTAAATAACCCATCTTCGTTTCCCCCAACTATAAAATAACAAATGGGTGCGAAAGGTCCGTCGAATTCTAATTCGTCTCGATCGACGGTTTCGGGAAGTTTCCGTGTTTCCGCTTCAGAAACTTTGTTTTCTAGGAAATTACATGGTGATTATTTAAGCACACTCTTGGTAATTGCTAATTACCAGTGAAATTAACTGTGAATTCATCCACCAAGAACTGCGGTTGGTAATCGTTGATGTTGCTTACGTAAACTGTCAGATCCAGATCAGAGCTGAGAGACGGCACTCCCAAGTCGTAAGCTTCGATTCTAATCTAAATTACAAATGGTGTCATGTAAAACACGACATTGGATATGTCTAAAGACCGGATTTTAGGACGTTAAAAATGCAAAAAAGGACAGTAAAAACATAAAATAGGACATATCGGGTTCGAAAGTAGCAATTATGGGGGGCTCGCGGCTTTGCCGCTCGCCCCCTTTTAGACCTCACGTTATATGATTCGCAAATGTTTTCTCAAATTATCGAGGGCTTCGCCCCGAGTAGAATTTACACTATCAGATTTTGTCGACATTTATAGACTTCACACTATCTGATTCGCAAAGGTTTTGCCACATTTAGTCCTTTTAAATCACATTTTTTGTTTAACCTGAATCGAACAAATCTATAATTAAAACTTCATTTTTCTGAATTATGATCGTGATTCCGACTCAGTGTTAAGAAAATCGACATTCATTTTTCTATTAACTTGCAATAATTTTCGTTATTTAACTTGCTTAGACTTCTTTGCTTTGTCTAAAATCAAAAGAAAAATGAATTTTCACTGAGTCAGAAAAATAAAAAAGGTTTAATTACAGATTTGCGCGTTTCGGGTTAAGCAAAAATATTATTCCTTTGCAGTAAAATCAAAATTTACCTGAAGCGGAGAAAAATAAAAAAATATCGAGTGATAAAAATGTTGTGTCAAATTATCCGGAGCTTTGTCTCGAGTAGAATTTACACTATCAGATTTTGTTGACATTTATAGGGGGCTCATACTATCTGATTCGCAAAGGTTTTGCCACATTTAGCCCTTTCAAATCACATTTTTTGCTTAACCTGAATCGAACAAACCTATAAAAATTAAAACTTCATTATTCTGATTTATGATCGTGATTCCGACTCAGTGTTAAAAACATTCATTTTTCTATTGACTTGCAATAATTTTTGTTATTTAACTTGCTTAGACTTCTTTGCTTTGTCTAAAATCAAGAGAAAAATGAACTTTCACTGAGTCATAATAATAATAATAATGGTTTAATTACAGATTTGCGCGTTTCAGGTTAAGCAAAAATGTTACTTTTTTGCAGTAAAATCAATTTACTTAAAGCAGAGAACTAAAACATATAAAGTGATAAAAATGTTTTGTCAAATTATCGGAGTCTTCGCCCCGAGTAGAATTTGCACTATCAGACTTTGTCGACATTTATAGGGGGCTCGCGGCTTTGCCGCTCGCCCCCTTTTAGACCTCACACTATCTGATTCGCAAATGTTTTGTCAAATTATTGCAATAATTTTTGTTATTTAATTTACTTAGACTTCTTTGCTTTGTCCAAAATCAAGAGAAAAATGAACTTTCACTGAGTCAGAATAATAATAAAATTTTAATTACAGATTTGGGCGTTTTAGGTTAAGTAAAAAAGTTATTCCTTTGCAGGAAAATCAAAATAGTAAACTTGATTTAGTTAAAGCGGAGAAGGAAAAAATATAAAATGGTAGAAAGGCCATAACAACGTTTTAGAATTTTAGAACGCAAAAAAAATTGTGTACGAATTCTATTTCAATCTCGGGGCCGTTCACTCTGGAATTAATTGTACAAATTTTTGGAATTTAATCGGAAATTGCTTGGAATTATTTGGAAGTGTTTGGAACTATTGAAATTATCTTTGGATTGTTTGGAACTATTGGAATTACTTGTGAATTACTGGAATTTTTCTGGAATAACTTGAATTCTTTTTGGAATTGCTGGAATTCTCTTTGTAATTAACAGTTACTTTTTTTTCAAGGATACTTATACGTATATTTTTTTTCGAAATTAAGTTGAATTACTTAAAACTATTTAATTCAGAATTACGGAAATTAAGCTGGAATTGCATAAATTAAGTTGGAACTACAGGAATTAATATGGGATTACAGGAATTAATTTGAAATTATAGGAATTAATCTGAAAAAAGTGTAATTACGAAAAATCATTGGAATTACCGGTTTTTTTGGAATTATTGGAATTTTGGCGAAATTTTTTGGAATTACCAGAATTTCGGTTTTTTTTTGGAATTGGAATTAGTTGTTCAAATATTTTCAAAAATTTTGTCCCAAAGGGCATTTTACCTAAAATCCGTCTCTAGATATGTTGTACTTACATCGTACACTTTTTGTTTCTTTCTGTCTAGAGGTAACCTCAGTTCTAGTATTCCAGAAACCGGTTGCAAACTGAAACTTTTCCAATGTCCGGCAGGATCGGCCTTAAGACGATATCGGACAATTCCATTCGACCCTACATCCTCATCAGTGGCAACAATTTTAACTAAAGCGCTTCCAATCGTTGCATTCTAAACAAAACAAGTTATTAACTACCAAAACTCGACGATAACTTACTTCTGGCACTCGGAGAGTGGAGTTATGCGGAGGAGTAACAAACATGGGAGGATGGTCATTAAAGTCAGTTACACAGATATGTAATGGTTCTTCAATTAAGTGACTTGGTGTTCCCAAGTCTTGCGCTCTTATAATTAATGTGTAGTTTCCGTGTCTTCCTCTAAGCGAAGTTGTAGTTCGTAATTCTGCTGACCATTCACTTATTTGCGACAAGGCAAAAAAGTTTTTCTGATTACCATCAGATATGTCAATTATGACCTGAATTACAGTGTTGTGAAATATGAAAATGGTTCAATGCGTGTTTACCTGTCCATTTGAGGTATTAGGATCGTCGGCATCTGAAGCGTGAAACGTGGTTATGGCTTGTCCTGGTTCATGAAATTCTGTGATATTGATGCAATAAGGTGGAACATGAAGCTGTGGATGGTTATCGTTAACATCTAGAATGGTTACACTGAAAAACGATTAATCTTGGGTTCAACGTTGTTTGAATAAAACCTACTTGATATGTTTGAATGCGTTTCTGCTTTCTCCACTGTTAAACCCGTATTGGTAATTATCCCAAGCTTCTATAACGAGGAGGTAAGTGTGTTTTTCCTCCCGATCCAATTTATCCGACACTTTTAAAATTCCTGTATCGGCGTCTATCCCGAATTTGCCTTCGGATGAAATCCTGTCTAGTAAATAGGTAATCTTCCCGAACTCTCCAGAGTCGGCATCTTTAGCCTCGATTATTGCCACTTGTCTTCCCACGGGAGTGTCTTCGGATATTAGAAGCGATTGTGGTTCGCCCAAAAAAAACGGATTGTTGTCGTTCTCATCCAAGATTTGGATGAAAATCTCGACTCGGGAAAATCGGGGCGGAATTCCAGAGTCTGTCGCTTTTATCTGCAAACACGGAATATAACCCATTTCACAGAAAGTTGCACTTTTCTACCGTCAAATTTAACCAATCATAAATTTCATGATCGATTTTATTTGCCACGACCAAGTCCCCGGAATTCCCATCCAAATAAATAAGTTCGGTTATTTCGTAACGACCATCCAGTGTGTAAGTTATTGTTTTGTTCTTGTCGGCGTCGTCGGCTAAGACGCTTCCAATCGTTACCCCATTTTTGCTATTTTCAGTGATGGAAAATTTGTAGTAAGGCTGGCGAAATTTCGGACTGTTGTCATTGATGTCCTCTATATTTATCGTAATGGTGGCTAAAATATTACATTAAAATAATTATTATTATACCGGGTGATTTTTAAAAAACGGCAGGCGCTGCAGAATTTTTATTTATGGCCCGATTACAAAAATTAAAAAAATTAATTAAATGGCTTCTAACATAGTATCAGGTAAATTTTTCTAAATGTTATAGAATATTAACATGGATGTAATTAAAAATCAATTAAATATTGTTATTAATAATAATAAAAATTCTTGTGTCTGACTCAATTAAACACTTGGGACTCATAATAGATGATGATTTTTGTTTTCTCTCATGTTAATATGATCCTAAAAAAATCTTATTTACATTTTTGATTTCCATAGCAAACTGTGTGAAAAGGGGTGCGGCTAGTAATAAATTTTCTGTAGTCTTAAAAAAAAATTATTAAATTTGGGTGTAGGGAATGTTAATACAAATCAATGCACAATTAAATTCTCTTCTATTTAATAAAATAAAAATTGGGGTATTTCATTTGAAAAAATTGAGTTATGAGTATTTGAATTATTACAAAAGTAACCTTAAAATTTTGGGGTATGTTATTTTTTTTTCAAAATTTGAAAACACGAGAAAAAGGATCTAAGCTTTCTCTTACAAACGCCAAAAAAACGAATTTAAAATCTTAAAAAATGGCAAAAATTTTTTAAAAACTCCAAATATTCGAAAAACGGCAAAATTTAGGTTCGGGGAAAGCTGATGAAAACTCCCTTAAAATAACCCGATTAATCTAAAAACGCAGTAAAAAATATACCTTTCCATTAAAAATAAGGAAGTTGAGACCGACTTCCGGTATAACCGGAAGTGTCGCCATCTTGAAAATATTTTCATTTAAGAGGACTTAATGGTTTAAGGCTATGTACCAATTTTCAAATAAATACAATTATTCCAACTTCCAATACTTCTAATCTGGGATTTAGACGGAACACCCTGTATATGTATATCTATTTTTTATTTTGGGGTTGAGTTGAGTAGCCTTCGGCTAGACTTCGCCCCACAGAGTTTGTAGTTTATTTATTTATTTTTTTCTAATAAAGGCCTATTATTATTATTTTAGGCATTATTCAATTTTGTAATTTTAAAGATGGACTCAAATTTTATATTATAGTTTTCTTGCTACAGACATGTGAAATATGTTCTACTTTTACTAAAAATTAGTGTCCAAAAAAATCATGGTTGAAAAAAAAATTATGCCATTATTGTAATGTCAAGAAGCAGCAAATGAAAGAAAATATTGCCAATAAAATCGAAATTTTTAGTGTTACAAAAGACAATTAAGAAGACTAAAAAAATATCAAGAAATACCGGCTTAAAAAAATTCTAGACTTGCAAAAAAACATTTAAAATGTCCAAATTTAAAAATTGTCAATCGAGACTTTTTTAAAACATCGTGTTCAAAAGACAGTGGGGGAGACTATTGGAGACTATCAGATTTTGTCAAAATTTATAAACGGGGCTCGCGGCTTTGCCGCTAAAATTTGGGCTTGAGTTTGAAAATTTGGAGAATTGAAATATTAAAATCTACTTACTAGCTGAAATTTGTGGTCCCGTTTCGGAGGCTGTGTCTTCCACCATGAGCCCCATTTGGACTTTTTCGACCATTTCCCTGTCCAATTGTTGTGCGATTGTCAAGACCCCACTCATAGGATGCAAGTTAAAAGTCTCAACACAGTTAAAATCACTCGTTTTAAGTAAAATTCCTCGTTCATTCTTTGCTTCACAAACTTTGGGATTAATAGTGTAGACTAACTGGGCTGTTGTATCTAAATCTTTGGCTTTTAATTTAGCTATAACGCTCCCGACCTGGAAAAAATGGTTTAGAGGGAATATTTGATTCGGGGAGCAATCCTACCGCTGTGTTTTCTCGCATTGTTACGCTTCCCGGTTCGTAAAAAATCGGTTTTTTATTATTAACGTCCAGTATGGTGACATTAACTATAACCCTGGCTTGCAATTGATTTTCCCCGGGCGCGCCATCCAGAGCTACAACATTTAAAGAGTAATGCAATGTTCTGGGTTGGGTCAAGTCCGGATCGAGTGAAGCTCCTCTTGCCACTGAAATAATACCGGATTCCGGGCCTATTATAAATTTATCAGATGCTCCATTCTGTATTCTGTATACAATTCGATTGTTGGGTGAAGAGCCGTCAAAGTCCTTGGCTCTGACTTGGAGAATAGAAGTGCCACCAGAGATGTCTTCCGGTACGGATTTATTGTAAAATGTGTATTCAAAGAGAGGGACGTGATCGTTTACGTCTTGAACGTAAATGTATAATGGAACGTCGCTAAATAAACTAGGAGTGCCCCAATCCCGAGCTCGGACTGTTAAGTGAAGCTGGCGAATATTGTCTTTCGATGACCCTTCAAGGGTTTCAAAGTCAATAGAGGTCCGTGGTTTGATAACACCGGTGGAGGAATCGATTGTAAAGTTGTGGCTTAATTCCCCGAAGAGGCTGTATTCAATTTCGTTGTTTTTTGTAGCGTTCAAGTCAGCATCGCGAGCTTCGACTTTTAGTGGGTTTTCAAAATCGAGCTTATTTTCCAATAAGCGAGCTTCGTAGCGATTTTGAGTGAAAATCGGAGGATTGTCGTTAACATCTTCAATGTTGATGATGAGTTGGACGGTGTTGCGGTTTCCTTGCCCTAAATCATCTCTGGCTTCCACTGTTAAATAGTGGCGTGATATTTGTTCGCGGTCCCAGTTTGGGCCCCCCGCTGTCTTAACCGAAATTATCCCAGATGTTGGATGCAAGTTTAACCTATTTGATGAGTGTTTTTTTGGAATATTGAATTGACAAAGCTACTAGCCGCCACAATTAACTAAAATTTTGCGATGTTTCACATTGCAACATTTTTGTTCGGCTTAAAAAACGAAACGAAATATTTGTCTTGTAAATGTTATACCTAAAAGACGAGGGCACTGTTTTTTCCTTTTTTTATACTGAGCTGTAGTGTGCAACAAAGACAAAATTAAGTTTTTACTTATCTCAGATTTTTGCGCGTTCTTTTTTGAATGAGGACCAATTTGTTTCAAAATTTTATCTTCTGGTGCTTCAGAGATATACAAAACATTGAAAAAAAAAACGTTCAGAAAGTAGGCTACATAAAAAGGTAGTTAAACCGAAAATTATTGCTTATGTCACCAAAAAAAGCACAATTACGTCTTTGAACACAAGAAATCCGAAAAACATGAAACTTCAAAGAATTATAACAAGTAAAACGCTTAATTATTGCAAGCTTCTATGCATTTATTTTAACGTTTTGGCACATTCGGCCTGTTTAATACGAACATTGAATGAAATTGGAAATGTAATGCTTTTTTTAAAGGTTTATATTTCTCATGTCTCAAGAATTAAAATTATGGGAAATGTGGTACATAATTCAGAAAAGAATGAGCAATAATCTGAAATCAGTAAAAATTTAAGTTTATCTATCGCACACTACAGCTCAGTATAAAAATAAGTAAAAAAAGGTGGCCGGTCAATTGTTCGAAAGCAATTGTTTGAAAATCCAGTTGTTCGAAAGCAAATTGTTCGAACAGCATATTGATCGAACGCCAATTTTTCGAAAACTGTTTGTTTGAAAAGTCATTTATGTAGGCAAGTAACATTTAACAAAAACAAGTTTGTTTTAGAGCTTGTTAGAAAAATTTCTTTGTAGGCGCAATTCAGATGAAAGTAGGGATGATTAAAACAACAATATTTTTTTGTTGGGTGTTGAAATTGCTGAAATAAAGATTATATTATATTTTTTGTTAAAAAAATACGTAAATTTATACAAAAAAGAGAATGTTCATCTCAGCTCCGGTCTTCTGGTAGCTCAGTTATTATTTAAGTGGAAATTTTGATATTTTGTAGAGTTTATTTATATTCTAGAGCGCATTTTAGAAAAATATTTTTGTTTATACCCGGTGGCCCAAAACTAAGTTACAATACAAACTTATGTTTTTTTTTAAATGAAACAACATATGTTTCTTGGCATTTTTGAATGTATAGCGTTTAATTTCAATGTTTATAAGCTAAACTTCTATTAGTCGACTTTGCTTGGTTTTTGAATTAAGTTGTTTTTTTTTCCAAAACATCCTCTTTTTAAAAATTTATTATACAAAATTAAGACAGTTGGAAAAAAAATTACCACTGTAAAGTACGAACTTTGAGACCATAACATTTTTTTAATGTATTGCAGCCGAAGTTTCTTAAAAGTTAAATAATATAAAAAAAATTAAATGGAACAATCTATTTTTATTCTCTCTACTTTTACTAAAGATTATTGTCTAAAAACATATCATGGTTGAAAAAAAAATTAAATGCCATTATTGTAATGTCAAGAAGCAGCAAATGGGCCAATAACATCGAAATTTTTACAGTGTTACAAAAAACAGTCGAGGAGACTAAGAAAATGTCAAGAAATAATTTCTAGACTTGCAAAAAACACTTATTTTTTTTAAAGAAATGCCCAAATTTTTAAAAAAATGTCAATCGAGACTTTTTTTAAAACATCGTGATGCAAAAGACAGTGGGGGGACTATTGGAGACCTCACACTATCAAATTTTGTCAAAATTTATAAAGGAGGCTCATTCTCATATTCTCATAGACTGATAAATTGTCTATCTAAAAAAATAAACTTTTTATGTCTAGAATTAATAAATTAAAAGATATTTAATTTTATATGTTACTTTTTCTTAACAAAGCCTATATATTTTCTTTAATTTTTGATAATTATGCAAGAATTGATAAGTATTAAAAATATTGAAGACGTAAGAGCTGATTTCCACCCGGTTTCTTCTGGATTGCGCTTACGAAAGAATTTTCCTAACAAGCTCTAAAACAAACTTGTTTCTGTTAAATGTTATTTGCCTACATAAATAACTTTTCGAACAATTGTCCGTAACTCGTAAAAAAACAGTGTTTTCGTCTTTTAAATATCACATTTACAAGACAAAACTAGAAATGGTATTGAATTAAATTACAATGATCTACAAAGTTTTTTTCTTTAATCCAGACAAAAATTCGTCGAAATCCGACAAAGAATAACAAAAATCGCAAAATTTTAGTTGTCGGGTTAATTTTACTTACATGTGTTGAATACTGCCGGATAGGTGGGTGTAGCGAATACCCATGGTGCCAAAAACCCCCGAGTCATCGTCTAGCGCTTGAACCCAAGCAACCGTAGCGCCAATATCGCAATTTTCTGGTACAAAAACTTCGTAAACATTTTTTGTAAATTCCGGGTAATTATCATTCCGATCTAAAATATGAGCGACAACTGGTACTTCACTAAATTTTGGATTGTTTTGTACTATTTCTTTAGCAACTAAAGTGAAATTGACAGTTTTTATCTTTTCGTAATCTAGAAACGTTGAATTTTTCACTCTGATCATGAAAGTTGCTTCGTTTATTGCTTTAGTTGGCGTTATTTCAAACATATCACTTGCTCCTTTTACGTAGAGTTGGAAAGTACCGTTAACTCCCTGAAATTGATAATTGGAAAGGAACAATGGCAATATTGTCAATCAACCTGGTCGTGGTCGTAGACTTCCGGCATGGCGGAGCCGAGGAAGGTCAATGGTGTGTTGACTGGGGCATTTTCCGCTATTTCGCATTCATAATAACCGCTCCTAAATTTGGGCGTTTCATCATTGATATCCGTGATAATGACTGTGACTTCGGTTGTAACACTTGGTGAAGGTTTTATTTTACCACCATATTCGGTCGCCTGCAATTTTCATGATTGTTTCTCGTCTAATTTATCAAAAAAATAGTACCGTTATTTGGAGGATGTAAGTACCGGAACTTAAAGAGAGAGATTCTCGGTCTAAGGTTTTGGCAGTGAGAAGCGTTCCGGTGGTTTCTTCTATACTAAACACATCTGTTATTCTGTCAATACTATTGGATGACAGTGAATATAGGATGGGATTGTTGACACCGCGATCCCCATCAATAGCAGTGACTGAAAGCGGTTTTCAGTTTAATTGTTTTATATCAGAAGGAGTTACCTTGAAGTACTGAAGTCCCAATTGGGGCATTTTCAGCAACTCGAGCCACTGAAGTGACTCGAACAAATTCAGGTGGTTGGTCTTCAACATCTTCAACTTTAACTAAAAGAGCAGCAGTTCCGGTGTTGACTCTTCCTTGTTTTGCCCGATCCACTGCTAGGACTTTTAGTTGATGCAAAGTTTGTTTCTCATAGTCTAAGGAACCTAAAATTAGGGGTAGTACCCTTTGAAGGAATATTTTTTGGGTGATTTACCCACTAAGCGCACGATTGCTTTCCCCCCGGCCGTACTAACACTAAATAAAGACTCTTTTGTATCAACTTCTTGTAGTTGGTACACCACTTGACCATAAGCACCTTCATCCAAGTCAGTAGCTTCCAAAGTCGCTACAATTCCCGGTGCTGCATCTTCTCTTAATGTAATCGATGATTGATGACTTGTAAAAATTGGTGTATTGTCGTTGACATCTTCGACTAGTAATAAAAGACTTTGAGTGACGTAATTACCATGTCCTAACCGACCATCAGTTAGAGTTAACACCAATGGATATTCATCTCGTGTCTGAAATATATTTCGACAAATCAATTAAAATTCTACAATTTTTCTGAATTTTACTTCTCTGTCTAGTTCTTTATTGAGGTAGACATCTGCTTCGGTAGGTGATATATTTTCGACACGGATAACATCGCTACCTGATTGAGATCTGACTCCAAAACTAAGGGGGTCACCATCAGGATCGGTTCCACGCAGTTTATAAATTAAGGTACCTATAATTATTTGCGTGATAGTATTAATCACCATGGTCAAGTACTGTTTTCGTGTTTTAAGTGACCGACAAACAATCATCACACGACTTGTGAAAGTTACCAAATTAAATTTCTAAAAGCTGGACAAGACTCGGTTAAAAGTGTAAGTAAAGTTGAATTATGAAGTGTGTTGCTTTTTAGTTTCTCGTTAGGAAGTAACATTGACCCTGTCAGAAAAAACGTGTTTTCTAAATGATTTCATATTTGATAGTGCCGAAAACCATTCACAAAAACGTGCTTGAATATTTAAATTGCATGTCATTTGTTTATAATTATGTGGTTTCTAATTAAAAATTGTAACAATTTCTGAAACGACAACTTTTTTGGATTTCCCTTTCACTGAAATGTTTACAAACTTTTATGCAAATCAATAATATCTAATTCGGGTTATTAAATCTGTAGAAGTTTTCCATATGAAGTTTTTTGTTTAAAATTTATTTTTCTCTTTCAGGAATATTTGTAATTTGTTAAAATCCCTTTCTTGGAGGTAATTATTCTACTTTTGTCTTTTGTATTTTAAT